TTCTAGAACCTTGGCTAAAATGCAGTTTAGAGATTGGTCGATAGTTGTTCAGTGAGGTGGGGTCACCTCCCTTCAGCAAAGGAAGAACAAAGGTAGAACCATTACAAGGTTAAAAGGTAACATTCATTCAACCTTTATTTATACAGGTTAATCCCATTGAGCCTTGGGGACTCATTTACAAGAGAGACCTGATTTCTTTAACAAAGAATGATGACAAGAGTGAACAACAAAGACAACAACAGACAATCATAAAGGATGCGTATAAATGTAATTGTTTTTAAACAACTGAAAATAAAATGGTAATTAAAAGGATAATCAAAAAGAAAAGTAGCGAAAAAACAGCTAGGTTGTAAGGCGGTGTAGAAGACTAAAAACAGGAACATGTCTGTGTTGGAATTTCCCAGGAACTTAACAGATGTTTAAAGTCACTTAGAGAGGTCAAGGTCGAGGGCTTCAGATCTTTTTGCAAGATATTCCAGGAAACAGGAGCGGAGTAGGAGAAGGCCCTTTTGCCTAGTTCAGTCCGCACTGAGGGAACACTGCAGGTAATAATGTCCTGAGATCGCACGCTGTAGCTTCTCTCACGCAGAGACATGTGACAGCCAGTTATGAATCTTAGTGCACCATGGTAGACAGTATCCAACAACTGCAGGGTGCTTGTAGGAGCGTTCATGTCAATAATATCACCGTCGTCAATGGAGGGATGGAAAGTCGCAGTTACAAGGCTGTAATAAATGCAAATGTCAAAATATATAAAATTCACAAAATAGAATCAACAAAAACAAGCCCCATTTGGGAGAGCAGTTGCAGTTTCAGTTAATGAAGACTTTATAAAAGCTTTGAATTCTCCTAAAGAAACAAAATGCACGTTAAAAGAAAGACAATTAATTAAATATATGTAGGATGGTACTTTACGCCCTAGGGTATAAATGCTAGTTCTGGGAGTTACTTCTGGTAAACGCCATTAAATTATCCACATTAAACACCAACTTTAAGTCGCACCTGCAGCAGCTCAACGTACAGCCAACTGAGTAAACTTAGGTGTCATCTGCATAAAGGTGCACTGAAGCTGTTCATCCTCATGTTTTTAATAACAATGAAAAAGGATCTAAATTTGAGCCTTGGGAGACTCCTTTAAAATCTTCAACAAACTGGATTAGATAGTTTCTAAAACACACTAAAGCCCCATCACACAAACCAGTTGCTTGCCAATCAGTTGCCTGGGATCAACAAACAGGACAGCTCAAAGTTGCTTCCTGTCCAAGACTTTAATAATGTTGTTTTTACCAACATACTGTAGCTGCTGTTGCGGTGCACTGACCTGACCTAAAGCCACACCGAGTTCAGATTAGGTTTAGTTTCCTTTCGTCCGTCTATATTTCCCCCCTCATTTCATCTTCCTCTTCGTGCTCACTCCTTCTTTCACCTTTTTCACCCCTCATTCGTTTGTTCTCACCCCTCCAGCTTGTTCTCCACGGAGACAGATTCCCTCGCCCTTCCCCCACACCTTCCCAATCGTATCTTTTGAGCAAGTTCTGATTAATGACATACACAGATTGATGAATTATTCACCAACGAGGAAGCGGAGGCTAAGAGGGGGGGGTGATGAACAAAGAGAAGGATGCTGAGGAGAGGCAGTGAGGATGGGAGAAGAAATAACAGCGAGGAATGAGAAACAAGGAGAACGGATGGAAACAGAAGGAAAATGGAATTCTGGGATACGTAACCCACAGCTGGAGGACTGGCTGGTTTGTTCTCAGCTTCTTACAGATAATTAAGCAGCATTTATCTTATGGTGCTCACAAAAACAGCCTAAAATGAAAGACTTGTCATAGAAATGCATATCACCCGCAGCCTTTCATGCCAGAGATTCAGCCTAAAATCATCTGTTGACTAACGACAGAGTTGAAAATTATTTTATTGGCAATTTAAGACCTATTGCTCAGTATTATACACTCAGAGTGTGTGTTGTGAGTGACTCTCATCTACTACCACACCAAGGTTTAGCTGGTTATCTGTAAAATGTGGTGACCATCTTGACTCTGACTCTAATCACTTGTAGATGAACATCCAATGTTTGGCCAGGCTGATCTGCCTGCAGTCAGGGTGGACTCCAAACCTGTGGCCTTGTGGTCTGGAAGGAGACCAAGAGTGAAAAAGCAGAATGTTATTTTAATCTCCAGGCTGGACGGGAAAGAAACCTGCTCGCACTGTAATGAGCCTTCACGGTCGACTTGTGACCCATGAATATTTATGATCTGGGATCCATCGTGGGCTCTGATTGGTCCTTTCTGTCAAGAACAGTCATCAAACCAAAGGGATGCTATTTAAGAAAACACTTCAAATGCTCCAGGATAGAAATAAATATTCATTGTATATTTAGCCTGTTTATTTATAAATATTCATATGAGTTTGTGCAGATGTGTGCAGCTCTGAGCAGCAGAGGTTGGCTCTCTGATGGAGGCTGTCCAGCACTCGCTCTGCTTCGCTTTTTATTCTGTTCGCTTTCCTTCCCAGTGAGTCATTCTCACCCCCACAGACCCACACAGTGCTCCCCCGAACGTCTCCGACACAGCCCTGAAACTGTCAGAGATTAAAAGCCTCATGACATCAGGAAATGTGTGACGACATCACCGTGGGCGTGTTTTTTAAGATTAATTGCTCACCTCGTCACCTCCTCCCACCTCCTCCCTGCTTCCTTCCTTGAGACGACGATGTTCGTCCTCATGCTCAGCTCGGGATTTAAGCGTGGGATAAAAGCTTCAGAGGACGGCAGCAAATGACAGTTGATGTTTGCAGCAGGTTCCCTCTTCGGCTCCATAATGTTTGATTTGTGGATGTTGATGGCGATGGTGCATATGTGGATTGTTGTTAATGCAGTTGTCGATTGTTTGCCGTTTGCATAATGTGTCCACACCGAACATCTGCAATCTGTTTTTCTTTCTTAAATTCATGCAAGTGTCAAAAACAACAACAACTGCGCGGCTGCTGTAGATCAAGAAGCACCGCTTAGATGGCTAAAACATTTCAGGATTACAGATGATTAATATTGCTTTATGGTTTGCATTTATCAGCATTAAATACACCAATTTAAAAGTCTTCTTGGGTGACTAATGTCTGCTGGGAGCCACGGCTTCTTTAACTGCTGTCAAAGCTTGAAGTTATTTTTGTTCATGACAAGCAGACTAAAAGAAAAGAAATTGTATTTCCTGCACAAATAAAATGTAAATGCTGAGTGCAAAACGACTGATTAAATCTGTTGAAGAAGCTCAAACCGTATTGTTAAAGCTAAAGGGGGAAAAAACAGTAGCTAAAAGCCACATCTAGCTAAAAAGAACAACAAATTAAATAAAACGTAAACGAAACAAATTGCAGGCTAAAAGCCGAATGGAGCAAAAGTGCTAGATAATGTACCAAAATACAGGCTAAAAGCAGCAAACTTTTAGCTAAAAGTAGCATGTGTTCAGCTACATGCAGCAAAAGTTTAGCTAAAAACAGCAAATGTTTAGCGTAAATGTTCAGCTAAAAGCAGCAAATGTTTAGCGCAAATGTTCAGCAAAAAGCAGCAAATGTTCAGCTAAAAACAGCAAACGTTTAGTGCAAATGCTCAGCTAAAAGCAGCAAATGTTCAGCTGAAAATGGCAAACATTTAGTGCAAACATTCAGCTAAAAGCAGCAAACATTCAGTTAAAAGCAGCAAACGTTTATTGCAGATGTTCAGCTAAAAGCAGCAAATGTTCAGCTAAAAGCAGCAAGTGTTCAGCTAAAAGCAGCAAGTGTTCAGCTAAAAGCAGCAAATTTTCAGCTAAAAAGGCAAACATTCAGCTAAAAGCAGCAAATGTTCAGCTAAAAGCAGCAAATGTTCAGCTAAAAGCAGCAAATGTTCAGCTAAAAACAGCAAACATTCAGCTAAAAACGGCAAACATTCAGCTAAAAACGGCAAACATTCAGCTAAAATCAGCAAACGTTCAGCTAAAAGCAGCAAACATTCAGCTAAAAGCAGTAAACGTTCAGCTAAAAACAGCAAACATTCAGCTAAAAGCAGCAAATGTTCAGCTAAAAACAGCAAACGTTCAGCTAAAAGCAGCAAATATTCAGCTAAAAGCAGCAAACGTTTAGCGCACATGTTCAGCTAAAAGCAGCAAATGCTCAGCTAAAAACGGCAAACATTCAGCTAAAAGCAGCAAACGTTCAGCTAAAAACAGCAAACATTCAGCTAAAACAGCAAATGTTCAGTTAAAAGCAGCAAACGTTCAGCTAAAAGCAGCAAATATTCAGCTAAAAGCAGCAAACGTTTAGCGCACATGTTCAGCTAAAAGCAGCAAATGTTCAGCTAAAAACGGCAAACATTCAGCTAAAAGCAGCAAATGTTCAGCTAAAAACAGCAAACATTTCAGCTAAAAACAGCAAATATTCAGCTAAAAGCAGCAAACGTTTAGCGCACATGTTCAGCTAAAAGCAGCAAATGTTCAGCTAAAAACGGCAAACATTCAGCTAAAAGCAGCAAACGTTCAGCTAAAAGCAGCAAGTGTTCAGCTAAAAGCAGCAAATGTTCAGTTAAAAGGTTTGAATAAAACGTAAAGCCTTAAAAAATAAAATACAAACTCGTGTTTGTTTGCATCCCTGGGTCCTCGTCCTCCACAAACCGAGACAATGACCGACAATGACAATGATGCCACAGCTAAAAGGTCCTAACTGGTGACTATTAGAAGATCTCTTCAAACTTGACTGGACCTTTAACGAGGTTTTCATGGATATCGCCCTGATTAAGACACATGCATTCTCTAATTATTCAGGTTAAAATGTCTGCTGTGAGTTAGTCCATCACTCTGCTGCAGGTAAGACACTGACTGTTAATAACCACTCCACACAATCAAACCACTCCCAAAAAAGTGCTAATTAGCAGGTTTTGTTCTGTGAAACCAGCGGTGGTAAAGTCCGTCACTTTAGTGTCTCCGGTTCTTTTCATCTTTTCCTTTTCTTCTTGTGTTTTTCTGCAGAAATCTCTGTCAGCCTGCTGTCGGTCATCGTGACATTCTGCGGCATCGTCCTCCTCTCTGTCTCCCTCTTCGTCTCCTGGAAGCTCTGCTGGCTGCCGTGGCGGGACAAGGAGGGCGGGGGGCTGAGCCTGACGTCGGGCTTGTTGCCCGGAACTGCCGGAGTCGGAAGTTTGGGAGGAGCCGGGGGGTCGTCACTTTTACCCCCGCTGCTGCAGAGGAAGGATGGCCAATCCTCATCCTCGCTCTACCCCTCCCTGGGCCAGCAGGGCCACCCCCATTTCTCTGACCTGGTGGGGCTGGAGAGGGGCGAAGTGGGAGGAGTGGTTGGGGGCCCAAATGAGACCCAGGAGCACTCGTACCTGGACATGGACTCCTACCCCAACAATGCAGGTGAGGAACATCACATCTGTCATGTGACGCTCCAACGTGATGAAGGCTGACCATTTTCCTAATCATAAAATCTGGTACTTTAGGAGGTGCAGTCCAACAAATATCACTCTTTCATCTCTTCAGTCCTGTTTCTTATTACTGATATATAAAAAAAAAAAATACAGAAATAATTTAAAAGTTTCTGCTGAATGTAGCTTTTTAATTTGGTGCAGATGTTTCCAACCCAAAGACCAGAAGTGTCCGGTTTCCACCAAATGGAACAATGTCTTTGACTTATCAAGCGTTTTTAGAGACAGACTAGTTCAGCACCTCTGTTCAATACTTGGAACTTTATCAGACGTGCGGATGGAGGAAGAGGCAAAAGTTCAGGTGCAGGTGAGGCTAACGGCCCGCCAAATGAAGGGTGACTTAAACCTATTCATTTGTCTCTTAGCCTTCGCAAACAAGTCTCTAAAATGTCTGAAAACAACTGGTGAGTTGCAGAGACTCGCAGTTTTGTCGTTTTGACTTTTAACATGTTCAAAAGACGTGCGATAAATTTAGTAAGAGTCCTCGTGGGCGTCTTAAACCTGTTTTAAGAGAATACCGATAAGTTTCGGATGTTTCGTTGAACCCATGTGGAACTCGGGATTTAAAGCGGAATATATATTTAATACAGAAAAAACAAAAGCTGATGTGCAGCAAACTTGCATGATCTCAGGGATGACTCGGAGGAGGACAGAGCCATAACGTCAAACAAGATGACGAGGAACACAGACGCTAACGACAGACGGTGACAAACACCTGGGGAAGGACAACAGGTGGCGGAGGCAGTTGATTACAAGAGGGAGGACACGGGGAGAGCAGGACAGAAGACGCAAGAATCACACAAATCTCTCCACGTACGAGGCGTAGTTGCTCTCGTCTGACAGGAAACACAACCAGGTCTAAAGAACGCACATATGATGAATATTATTCAATATCAAATCATAAACGCAGGGCGGCTGCCAAGGTGGGGGCAACAGCAGGCTGAGGTGAATATGACGCAAGGGAAGATGAACCACAAAACCACGTGCACGCCCTTAACAGCTTTGCAACCTGTGCACGCGACATCAGGCTGTGATTTTCAACTGGTCGAGCAAAATACGGTTGTTTGGTTGCAACCGCTGAAAATTTGGATCTTTGCTTTCGCTTGTGAGTCAGCCAGTTCCCGACAGTCGCAGCGCGATGACATCACATGTAATTTATAAACCAACACAGACAAAAAGGTCCGAGAGCAGTGAAGCTGAACAGAACGTTCAAATCGATCAAAATCCTCTTTGAATTTTACCTTTTTAATCTCTTTCTTGCTCAAGTTTTATTTTGATTAAAATAAGCATCAACTAAATGGTTACTGGCGGCTTTTTATAGGATTTAACACTTTCATTTGCTTTTTTCATAGAAAAAACTTGCACAGTATCTTGAATAATGTCCTTTTAAAGTTCAAAAATAATAAGAAAAAGGCCATTTTCACTGTTTTACGTTCTATTACACTGTTTACCAGCATAAAAAAAACACAACAGAGGAATAAAATAATCAGCTGGGACGCTAACATTTAAAATATTTATTCAGATGTCGTCCTGCCGGTGTGTGAGGAGCTGGTCAGTCACCAACAGTGGGCGGTCATGTCAGTTGTTCAGCAGATAAAACACAAAGCTGAGACGAGCTTTAGTGCAACTTTTGTCATTCTGGTGTTGAGCCTGCAGGTTTCATTATTTACACTTAGATCAGGGGTCTGCAACCTTTACGATCAAAACGGCCATTTTACGCCATCGCGCTCTAAATTAAAAGTGACCAGAGCTGCGACAACCGGCTGTGATTATCAACTGGTGGCCCATGGGCCACTTTAGGTTTGTTGGAGGGGGCTTTTGCGGCCATTAGGGTGTGACATTATAAAGCTAAAAAATATCTAATAATTTAGATTTTTACAATTTAAGACAAATGAAAAGACCAGATCCTTGTGGGTGGGGGTGGGTAGTTTTTTTTAATTAATAAAAACTATGAACTATGCAGACCTATGTATTTTTTTTAATTGTGGAAAAATTAAGTGTAGAAATAAAGCATAAAGTTAAAACGAGTGTTTGTTTGTTTTTCTCCTTGTGCATGATCCAGCAAAATAAATGACAGGAAAACGGCTAAAACCAGTCCTTTTTTGTATTTTGTATAACAACCTATAAAATTCAGTTTTGTCAGTTTTAGTCAAAGCTTGAAAGAGCCGCTGCGGAGGGACCAAAGAGCCACATGTTGCAGACCCCTGACTTAGATGCTGGATGTCTTTACGGCAGCTCTTTGTGCATTTATTTTACGCTGTATGTGTTTTTTCCTCATCTTCCTCTAAATACGTAATTTAATTCATCACCTCTGATCAAAGCAGTGAACTTGGTGGGATCTCTGACTCTGACCTTTAACTGAAACATGAACCAAAAGAAGTGGGATTGATTTTTGTTTCCGTAGGAACTCTGAAGTTGAGTCAGACGTCTCCGGATGTCCCGAACTCAGAGGGAGGAGCCCAAAAAGACCTGCCCAACGCTCATTCCCAACAGCAGGTCACCCCACGGTCAGTGTCTCTTTGTGAGGGTATGTTAATTAATTCAGATCAATTAAATGATAAAAGTTGGGACGACAGAAAAAAAATACTATTTTTGTCAGCAAATTGCTAAAAATCTGATTAACACAAGGTGTGTGATCAGTGTTTTACATTACATGTTAATTGGGTCAAAGAAGCAGCACAGAGGCAAACATGCTTTAAGTTTAATTCTTACAGTTTTCAAAGTAAAACAAGTCAAATATTGTTTCACTGAACCAACACAGAAGTTTGTATCCCTCCGCCTCACCAGAGCATGATATAGTTCCCTCAGATATGCAGCCGTCTGAACCGCTGTAACAAATTCACAGATTTGTTCAAATGCACCTTCTTTCAAATGAATGTTTTCTTGAAGCTGACATCATTAAATTAAAATAACTGTGTAAACCTGGTCTGGACCGGGTAGAAATTGAGATACATACAACCTAAAGTTAAAATAAAGATAATTTCCTGCCTTTTCTTGAGAAATGAGGTCGTTACTGTTGTAATTTAAGGTTGTTGAGTTTTATCTTTTGCAGTTTTGACTAATTTAAAGTAATTTCCGTGCTGTCCACAAGCTGTGGAGGCGATCCTTAATGGGCTGACTCCCAAAGTTATACAGTGCAAAATTCATCCAGTGGTTTGAGATATTTTGCTAACAGATCGACAAATGAAAACAGACAAAAACAATATCTATGAAAACGAACAACCACACTTAGTTAAATGAACCTGATAAAAGTCGGATTCAGTCATTTTTGTTCTTTAGGGAGGAATAAAACCTCAGACGTGATAATTTCTTTAATATCTTGTCTTGAGGTTCGCTCTCAACAAACATCGAATTCTGAATATGAAAGTGTCAAATATCAGCTTTAAATCACGTGTCTAAAACACGGTTACACTAAATACAGAAGTGACCTTAATTTAACAGCTAATTATGACACCAGCACAGATTTAAAAAAGCCAAAACAAGGCAATTATAATCTAAAGTTCAGCTGATTTAAGCTGCTGAGTCATTCTGTTCTGTAGCTTTATGTGTGTGTTTTTGAGACGCTCACCCTTTGTGTCGTTATGTGCACGCTCAGGCCCAAACCCATGACTCACCAGCTCTCCAGCCCCGATTTCCACGGCGAGGAGAAGGAGCAGGTCACCTGCATCGGACAGATCAAGCCGGAGCTCTACAGACCCAAAGGCGATCAGGGCGAAGGCAAACAGGGCGACACCTGCGGCAAGATCTGCTTCCTGCTGCGCTACGCCTTCAAGTGAGTCCAGAACCCGGCGTGTCACGAGCTCAAGGCTTCACAATCCATCAGCCCAAATGGGCGTTCATTCAGCCGCTGCACTCAGCGGACGACCCAAACAAGTGAGATCACAAAATATCCAACGTCAGAGCAGGGTCCGTGTCTGAATAATGCAGAATGAACAGGGGAAGGCCATGAAAAGACAAACACCCCCTCAGCTCCAGTTTTCTGCTCTCTTTACTCAGACACGCACGTCCGCCCACCGTTAATTACTAATTACTGTTAATTTGTCGTATCGGGTGGGGTTCGGAAATTATGGCTACAGGCTGGGGCCGGGTCGGGTCGGATTTTTTTGACCCGAATGCAACTCTAATTCACTTCAATTCAATTCTGTTTATTTATAAAGCGCCGTATCACAACAGAGCTGTCACAGGGCACTTTACAGGAACATTCACATACATAGAAAAGCCAATTAGTAAAGTTCTTTATCTAAGGAAGCAGCGGACTCATTGAATCTTCACTTCGTCTCAGTCTCCCATCCTGAGCAAGCACAGTGGCAACAGTGGAAAGGAAAAACTCCCTTTTAAAAGGAAGAAACCTCCAGCAGAACCAGGCTCAGGACAAGCGGCCATCTGCTTTGACCGGCTGGTTTGAGAGGATAGGAAGGAGAGACAGGCAAACACAGAATGGTAGGTCCAGATATAGGTGCAGGTGACCCTGAAAGACAAAAATACATTAAAGATAGAAAAACGATTCTAATAATTTTCTGAGAAGTCAACCTCTGAGCACATGTTGTGAATGACTCTCAGCTACTACCATGTTGAAATATGGCTCAATATCTGTAAAGCTGACTGAGTCATAACCATTTGGTGTTTGGGAAAGATGCTTGCTTGTGGCAGCCATCTTGAGTGGGGTTGACTCCAAAAGTTTAAAGTTGCCGATGAACATCCAGTTATTATTTCCATCAAGTTGTTGATGAGATATTTTACTAACATTACAGCATACACAGAAAAACATTTGAATTGAGCAGCTGGCAATAAATATCTCTGAAATTCTGAGTTCCCTGAGAGAAAATTTGGGTTTTAGAATAATTGATGTTAAGAATGTGAGCGTGCGTTGAGGTGCTGGTGGGAAACGATGAAGTCTCTCTGCAGCTCGTTGTCTCTCAGCAAGCGGTGCTTTAATCCTGCCTGCTCCGACATGAAGAAACATTGCAAACGGGTGAAAGTGCTGATGGTCAGAAAATAAAGGGAGCGACCGCTTCAGTCGTGAATTATATATGACGAGCTGCTTTTAACAGCAACTCTGTCAACGCCTAATAACACCAGACGGTGTTAGAGTCAAATTACAGCTTCAGAGAATTAACCGGGGAGCGTGATGCAAAAGCCATTCATGTGTCCCATTTTCTCATTTGAAAGTCGCCAGATAATTCACCATTACTTACACGTAAGTAAAGAGAAATGTATCTCAGAACCAGTGTGGTCATTTGTGTAAAAACACTTGTGTTGAGGTGTGTTAGCGCTGGAGCTATAATGAGATTGGTATGTTAATGTGAGACACCCCGCTGTTTGGAGTGTTAACAGTCAGACCAACAGTGTCAATCTCGCTAAGGTCTTCTGGGGAAAAGGCGTTTCTATTGACAATCCCATTAAAAGCTGACACATTTCCACCGCGGGAATAACGGCTACCTTTCAGCGTTGTCTGCCAGGAATAAGGTTGAGAGATTTGTTTGAGCTGTGTACAGGGTATTCTCTATGCCTCGCCTCTGGGATAGAGAAAAAAATAGATACCTGGATTTGGTTCAGACTCATGTATTCTTCTGTAATAAGACACAGGAGAGGAGCGCACTGTGCATCTGTTGTGTTGTATCAAAAACTAAACACAGGAACGTTCACACTAATCACAGAGGGAACATGTTTTTTGTGCACAAGTTTCTGAACTGATGGGAATAACTCAAGAAATTGCATTCCCTGCAAAAAAAAATGCAATGTGAACACTGAGTCCTGAATGATTTTAAAGAAAATGAAGCTGAGATGGTAAAGCTTAAAGTAACAGAATATGAGCTTAAAGGAGTCGTTTTTTTTCTTAATACAATAGTGGAATAGTGAAGTGCAAGAACCTATTCAAAGGTTAGCCAAGAAGAAATATGACAAGGAGAGGACAGAAGAGAGGAAACAGGACTACTAAAAACTTAAAAATAGAAAATGCTAGGTAAAAGCTAAATGTGCTAGATTGAACAGTAGCTCAACCTCAGTCAGCACACTTCATCTCCATTCCTCAGACATTTTCCTCAAATATGCCATTGAAGATTTGAGTCAAAAACCTCACTGCCATTGTAGAATCCAAGAAACGTTATTAATTGGATAATCTGTTTCACAACAAGGCCCAAGCAAATGTGTATTTTCACTTACAAGGACCTGCAACAGAACTTGATTTTAAACAGACGTTTGATGTCAGACTGACCTGAAAAGAATGTGCTCATAGGAAAATCATTGTGCGCGTCAGAGACTCTGGAAAACATCTGACGATAACATGCTCATGTTTGTGTGCTGTTTCAGAAGTGTATAAAAACTCTGATAACGTCCCCATCAGAAGGGGTTCCGTCTTTGAAGTCTTCAGGTATTTTAGCTGTTCCACCTTAGAGCTACAGCTTCAAAATAAAACCCCCATTTTGCTGTCAACCAAGAACCAAGGTGTCTCCTGTTTTATTTAATGAAACCAAAAGTATTTAATGTAGATTCCACTACACTATCTCTCTAAGACATTTCCAAACTTCCACTGGTATGTCATTAGGTCCTACTGCCTTCCCCTTCTTCATTCTTTTTAGAGCTTTCTGGACATCACCCTCACTAATCTTTCCCACTTCCTGGTCCACAATTTCTATGACCTCTGCTTTTCTTTCATTGTTGTCATTCATTAGCTCCTCAAAGTACTCCTTCCATCTTCCCATCACAATTGTGAGAACATTACACTTCCTATCTTTAATAAGCGAACCTGCTGCACATCCTTTCCAGCCTGATCCCTCTGTCTCGCCAATCATTACAAATCCTTCTTTGGTGTCCAACCTCCCATACAACTCATCATACGCCTCCTGCTTTGCCTTAGCTACCTCCCTGCCATAACCTTCCAGTCCCCAATCTCCCTCAGGTTTCCTCTTACTCCTGCCTCCACTCTTATACATCACAATATGTTCCTCCCTCTTTGGGGAAACAAGTTTTGACAGTTTAACTGTAGCTACAATTTAAAGGCAGCAAAATGCTAACTAAAAGCTAAAAAGTAGAACGATAATTAAAAAGCCAAAAATGGCAAAAACAGATAAAACCTTTAGACAAGAAGCTAAAAGCTTAAAGAAGCAAAAAGCTAACTCGCCAATTAAAAATATGTGTGCTAATAGCTAAAATACTAACTAGAGCAATAGCTAAAATCAAGGAGCAAAATTTTAACTAAAAGCTACAAAAGTAGAATGATATAAGCCAAGTGTAGCAAAAGTCTGGATAAAAGTAGAAAATGCAACAGAATACAAAAAGCATCAGAATATAAACTTAAAGCTAAAAGAAGGAAAATGTTTGTGGAAAACTAAAAAAAGCAGAAAGATAGCTAAAATCTAAATTAGCTAAGCTAAGTAGAAAATGCTATATAACAGCAGCAGAATATGATAAAAACTAAAAGAAGTAAAATGTTAGCTCAAAGCTAAACAAAAAAATACAGAAAACTAAAAGCCAAAAGTGGAAAGATTAGCTAAAAGTAAATTTTAAAAAAGCTAGTTGACAAAAAGAAACGAAGCAGTAGCTAAAAGTACCATAAATATAAAAACAGAGCATTGTTTGCCGACAGATTTAAGAGAACAATGATTTTGAAGGAATTGAGGACATTTTATTGTATTTTAACTGGGAAAAAATTTATGATAAATGTTAAATTAAAAAAAAAAATAAAAAAAAAGTTACAAAAGCCATAACACACCGATCTCCTGAATGAGCAGAATATTTTTATAAATGAATGGCTGCAATAGCAAAGTACTTTAGTTATACTGTAAAAACATTTGGGACTAAAACAACAACAACAACACCACCAACAACAACAAAAGGAAAACATTTATATAATTGCTGACTCAGTATTCGCACACAAGTATGAACAAGTTTGAACTAAAAAGGGAATCTGGTTAATTTATTATCAGTTCTAAGATAAAACATCCAGCTTCAGTTTTTATCTGTAAATTGTGTTTTTAATGTGCTGTTATTGTACAATAGATGTGTTTATCTGCCTGTGTTAACTGAATGTGAGTCAGCGGTAAACGCATGTTTGAACGGGCCACGCAGCACGCACATCCTGTTTGTGCGCGCTGCACATGGAGAGTGAACTGCCGGGGTCACTTCTGGCATTCGCCTTGCCCTCAGCCACATGGCTCACGTTGTTGTCCCGAAGCGGGAAATGAAGAGCTGACAGACTCGTTAACACATGGAGACACAGTCTAACGAGGTCTGATTAAAGGCCTCCGAGCTTTCTCCATCCTCATCTGCTAATTAAATACATAATAAATGGCGTAAGAGATGCACTCATGACTGTTGGGTCGAGCGTCTGTATAGAAACAAACACAAGATGTGTTCATGTGCGCATTGTGAGATTTTATGTTTGTTTGCACGACACAGGGACACTTCTCCAGTTCTGCTGCTTCACTTAAATGTGCAAATCACTTGGATTGTTATTTAAAAGTTAAATACCAATGAAATAATTAATGTTTGTTAGGGATTATTCTTAACTACCACATGAAGTTTTAGCTCATTATCTGTAAAATTAGCTGAGTTGTAGCAAATTGTTTTTGCTAAATTCACCTAGCTGTGGCAGCCATCATGAAACGAATTGATCCCTGATGTTCATCAGTTATTGATGTACACCCATGGAATATTTTCTGAGTTTTATCAAAATCTGTTCAATAGTTCATGAGATATTTAGCTGACATTACACACACACACACACACATATACCTGTATTTGTGATTTATAGGGTTGTCATGATTTTTAGTCGTTTATGAGGACATCCTTTACCCAATATTTAATTGACATAAACATTATGTCAATATTTTATATTTGACATGTAGAAAACTTAATATATTTCAAAAAGAGTAATTTAACTGTCACAAATGTGTGCAAAACATTATTGCCCTTTCACCTAGCAAGTCGAACAATAATACAGGTACTTTTGGACAGTATTTGGTGATAGTTAAATTTCTACCTGTCTTTAAAACCTTGCAACATGTCAGGAGTAAAATCCAATACAGTGTACATGTATGAGCCAAAACTTTATGACCTGATGTTGAGTAGGTCCTCTTTTGCCACTGTATTTTTTTCTGCCAGATCTTTACATTTTTAATGTAACAGTTTTGTCACATTTTTTCTTTAAAATAAAGAGGTCATTTGAACTTTATGTCCTAAAATTCCTCTTCTTTGGTCCCCTGAAGTATCAAATGTATGAGCTCAAGTTATAGTTGAACAGTTAATTGTCTAATTGACCAGGGGAATGACAGAAACTACTTAAGTTTTGTGAGTAATTCAGTAGCTAAACCTAAACACTCACTGTTGCAGAAATGTTTTAAATGGTACAAAATTTAACGTGGCGGCACAGTGGCTCAGATGGTGGAGCTGCTACCTCTCAGCGAGAAGGTTTCCGTATCAAATCCCATCCAGGAACCGTTCTTGGTGGAGTTTGCATATTCTCTCAGTGCATGTGTGAGTTTTCTCCACGTACTCCGGTTTCCTCTCACAGACCAAAAACATGCATGTTAGACTGATTGGTAACTCTCATCTGTCCCTAGGTGTGAGTGAGAGTGAATGGTTGTTTGTCTCTGTGTCCCTGTGATGGACTTGCATCCTGTCCAGGATGTGTTCCCCACCTCTCCCATAGTAACTGCTGGATACGGGCACCAGTGACCCCTGGCCTTAAAAGGACGAAGCGAGTAAAGATAACTGATGGATGAATGGATGGATAATTTAACATGTAAACAAAGTTTCAGTTCAAGTTGCCTACCATCATAGCCTGGTGAATGGGCATTATTTGAAACTAAATTACACATTTAATGAAACGGCAACTAAAAGTATAGAAAAACACAAATAAATCCAGATAAACAACGGCTTTATAAACCAACTTACAGCTTATTTGTACTTCGCAGTGCAGGTGTGTCACTGATAGCTGATAATTAAACCTCCCACATACTAGAAGTTCAGAGTGCTCCTTGTAAAGGTACACAGTTGATGGTATTTCTGGCAGTCTGTTTGCAGCATCCTAATTACCACTGGCACATTGAGAACAATGTACGTGACGTGGAAGCTTGAGTGCATCACACATAAACTTTGTCACCAAGTGTCATGAACACACAATGACACATAGACAGCCAGGGCAATTTATTTATATAAACATTTACTGAAATAATAGACGTAAATGGTACATACCTTCTGAAAGAAAAGAAAGGAAGGGAAAATGCGTTTTACTAAGGTGGATTTTGGACCTCAAGGGACAGAGAGCGCTGATTCAGGACCTTTAGCACCCTCTATTCTTCATGTGCCTTCATCACCCATGGGCCTATAACCCAAAGGAAAATATGTTGGTTAATAAATGAGCCCAACTTTGGATGGACTACATTTCACTGGCTGTACATCTGTGCTCACGGAGCTTACATTTAGCCTTGCTGACAGTGCAACCATGATGCAGCTCAAGAGACGAGACAAAAACACACACATACTATTCTCGCTACCCTTTACTCCAGAGACACTGATCTTCCCACGCTAATTTGTGTGCACAAGTTCGGCACAGGTGTTTGTGTGGGTTAATCCTGTCTGAGTCTCATGGAGTGTTGGTGTAAACGTGTGCAAGCCATGGCTTTCATATCAGTTTTTGTTTGTGTGTGTAACTCCATGGATATCCAATGCAGTTATTTTTACCTGTTTCAGTACGGAGCAGTTGGTGGTGAAGATACTGAAAGCTTTGGACCTGCCAGCAAAGGATGCCAATGGCTTCTCTGACCCTTATGTGAAGATTTACCTACTGCCAGACAGGAAGAAGAAATTCCAAACAAAGGTGCTTCCCACTTGCTTCATACTCATCTTTACACTTACTGGCACAGTAGCTGTCTAAATAAAAAAGTGTGCTTGTATTTTATATCTTTAGCTAGATGGAGTACTTATAAAATATAGTGGGGACAAGCTAAAGGCTAACATCAGAGCAGGGACTATTTAAGAGCTAGTTTTTATCAACTGAAGCAACTCAAAACTTTCCAAACATTATTAGCAAAAGATTTTTTTTAAGCATCATGACTTTTGCATAGGATCATTCTTTATGTTTTGTCTTCTAAACCAAACTATATTGCTTTGCTAACTATGTGCACTATTCTAAAATCCCCTGCCGAGTTCTCCTGGAGTTCTGTCTCACACAGATATCCACTTATCTCCCCAGAAAAAAAAAACATACTGTCTTTGTTTTGTAATAACCAATAACCAGGCTTTACTGGTGTAATCTACATTTTTGTTGTGGGTGTACTGTGCTTAGAAACCAAAGTACACCGGTTAGTATAATGTAATCATCAATTTATTTTGATTTTTAAGCGTATTTCCAAATTTCTCTGATGCTGATATAGTATTTGAATGAATGCACAAAAAACTTTGCACAACAGTTGGCTTTGTATTAAAAACACGTTATAGAATTTATAAAACCTTATCAAAGCAAAACACGTTCAAGTATAAAGTAGTAAGTGCAGAAGTATACAATAATTTGCTGGATAAGCAAATGTAATAAACAAGCGCTGCATATAGATGGATTGTTACGGAAGCGTTTAACCTATCAATGACACATGCCTAATGATATGTTTCGTATCACTGGGCACTTTTAAGTGGGTATACTGAAATTCTTAAGCTTTTCTAGTGGGTCTATTCCAAATTCCCGCGTATCGCATAGACCACACCACTGTACTTGATGCTTTAGGATCAAACCTGCAGAGCTACAGCTCACAGCCGATATGTAGCAAGATGCAATTAGCAGCTTCTGTGCTTCTAATTATGCCTAATTGACTCAACTGTTGTTTCATTTAACTGCGAAGTCTTGAGATTCTAGTGGTTCTTAACTTAATATGTCAAAACCTGTAAAGCAAGTTTGTTTAGATATTATACGTGTGTAAATTTTGGCAAAATGGTTTATTCGTTTCAAACAAGACGGCTTTCGATACGATTTTAAACAATGATTCAAAGAAACCTTTGAAGATCTTCAGAAGTGACACGTTTGAACAGATATACATGAGGAGAACATGCAAACTCCACCTGGAAAGACACGAGGCCGGGAGGTGAACCTGCGACCTTCTCCCTGAGAGGGTGACGGTTTAAACCACTGTTTTACCATGCCGCCCAATATTTGTATACCTGAGCTCTAATTTTCTGACTTCCATCTGTTTTAGCGACTGAGGTTCTTCATGGAGGATCATAACAGTTTTACTTATGTAATCTAATAATCTGGGGTGTCATTTATTCAGGATCTTGTGCTTTAGCCTATAATAGGGCACAGAAACTTTTTCTGTGTTATTCTGGGGTTTGAGGACAGGCGAGTCAAAATTTGAGAACACTTTGGGACATTCTGTACCATGAAATGTACTCTTAGCTCTCAAAGACCTCCTCGCTCCTCTAATTGTCCCCTGTCATGCTGCGAATAGTGGGGAGTTCGAAATACCCTCCATCCGTCTGTCCACCTGTCTGTCTGTCGGGGCATGTTGTGATCACAATAACTTGAATAAATAAAAGAAGTATCAACTTCCATTTTGGTGTGTGGCTGCATCTAGGTATAAGAAAGGTTCTTATTGAAAACCTGGTTGCCACGTCAAAATCCAAGATGGCTGCTACTATATATGCTTTCTAGTCTTTTTTTTCATTGCACCTTTATTTAGACAGGTAAATCCCATTGAGCCTTGAGGACTTGTTTACAAGAGAGACCTGATTTCAACAAAGAATGATGACAACAATGGACAACAGCAACAACAATAGACAAATAATAATTTTATGTTGCTTAAAAGTATAGTTCCCTCAAGTAACAGAAGTGGCCAGTGCAGTGGTCACAGTGTAACTCCTACTCTCTTGAATATCTTGCAGCAAAAACATTAAAAACATTAAGACTTACTTGCATTTCCTGCTCAACTCAGGTCCAGAAAAACATTCATCTTGAAAAAAAAAAAAACCATTCACTGTCCATATCCTTCAGTTACAGGGGAAATTTGCATTTGTTCAGTTTACAGGTTTAACAGTTATGTGCATAGCCGTCTCACATTGAGACTTATATTTCAGATCCATAAATATCACAAATATATTTGATCAGTGCTTGGGTAAATCTGACAAAAATAAGTTTTTTTTTTTGTTTTTTTTTAAAAAGGTCAGATTTAGGCACAAAACTGGGACAGTGTGAAGCTTCCAGCAACAACGAAGCTGTACCATTTAGAAAATGTTTCCCTTCTGGTGTCCTCCTTTGTGTGGCCGTTTCCTGCACAGAACAAAAAGCCCCTTCGAGCCTTTGAAAAGCATGAATGCCTCAGTCAATTTACATAATGTGGCTTCCCCCTGTGTTTGGTGAGTATCTGATTGTTTAATTTCAACCACATCCTCATTAACACCAAATTTTTACACCTTTTATGTTTTGGGCCACTTTCATCCCTCCAGCTAATCGTCAAACAGAAACAGACACGGACTCGCAAATAGATTTTTGGAGCTTGTGTTCTGGTTTCTAAACTCGCAGCTTCTCCGTCACGCGCATGTTTAATTCAAAGCTAACAAGTAATTATCAAGTGCTAATAAACAGGGTTGACGGAGCCACTCGTGAAGCGACAAAAAGTTGCTGGTAAAGCTGGCGTGTGTCACGTTTTAATTATTGCACACGTTTGTTGCTAGACGGCGTTTATATCAAACGCTTTCATGGCAAATTATTCCCAGCAGAAGATTAGGAAGAGAGTGAAATGTTGGGTTTTAGACCGAAAACTAATTTTCAGCTGAAATCCTCTACGTGCACCAGTTTTGATAGCGCTCGTCTTTCTGTCAGAGTTAAGTCCTCAGGTGAAAAATTATTTTTGCCCTTTAAAAATGCTGGAGATTAAAAACGTTTTTAATTAAAGTCCTAATGCAAATGGTCTGCTGCCTATCAGGCCTAAGTTTAGACTAAAATGATCCCGTGATAAGAAATTAAAAAGCTTTAGCTGTTTCGGTCAAATCTTGAAAACAACGTCATGTAGTTGTGAATGACTCTCCACTACTACTAGGGGTCTAACAATACATTGATTTATATCGATATATCGATTAAATGATTAATAATTCAATTATATCGTGGCAAAACTAAAATTCGATTCATATCGTCATCTTTAAAATATGCTTTTATTTTGAAATTCCCAAGGCACGTCTGTCACCATGTCCGTGCACGGCTGCGCTCTGCGGCCACCTCAGCAACATGGCAGACGAGGCAGAAAACACAGATAATGAAATTCACTCTCCTGGTGGATTTAAATCAACTCTGTGGATTTTGTTTCCAACAGAACAACGGCTCAACAGACAAAACTCATGTCGTGTGCAACAACGGGTGCCGGTGTGCGTTAAAATACTCGGGAAACAACAAATTTGTCCGTTCACCTGAAGAAGAAACACGGCATTGACAGCCATGTTATGTAAACTAAATATCTATTTTTCTTTCTTTATAACTGAAAGGTAATCAGGCCACTTTTAAGTTAACTGGTTTAAAAAATGCACTTAAATAAAATGTGAGACTATACTGAACAGGTCATTTATTTTTATTTTTTTAATTAATTAAGAAGAAAAAAATGTATTTTAATGCCTGGTGCTTGTAATCACAGAAATAAAATGGTTAAATCATATTTGAATAGTTTTTGTAAATTTATTTATATGTAAATAAGATGGGCATTTGATATCGCAATATATCGATCGCAGACTTGTGAATCGAATAGAATCGAAATCGTATCGTGACCGACTTTGTGATATCGAGAAAAATTGAATCATCATACAAACAAATCGATATAATATCGTATCGTGGTAAAGCTGGTGATTTACACCCCTAACTGCTACCACACAACGTTTGAGCTCTATATCTGTACAATTCAGAGTGATGTTTGTTTTTGTGATGGATGATGGTTACAGTTAATTGCACCACTCGGGGTGGCTGCATGTTGGAGCAGCTCTACATTCATTCTGAGTTACTGCTTTTAAAAACTTTTAATTCCTCTTTGTTCTGGATTAAATCACTTTTTTCATCTGGTTATTTCCTCTGGTATCGGATGTTGTGCAGCTGGAAGGATTTTTACTGAAACTTTTTTACTTTTGGGCATTTATGATGCGTAACCATGGCAACAATGTGTTGGTTTTTTTTACAACCCGGAGCAGCTGATTAACATCTCAAAAGCTCAGATACCTAATCTACAGCCCCAAATCCCAAATGAGCTGAAAAGGAGGCACCGTGGATGAATTCCCGTCAACCTGACGGTGGTGCTTAAGTACCTGACTGCCGAGATCCTGGAGCTGGTGGGAAACTCTGCTCGTGACGACGGGAGGACCAGGATCATCCCCCGGCACCTTCAGCCGTCTGTCCGTGGCGATGAGGAGCTCGGCAGACTGCTGGGAGGAGTGACCATCGCTCAGGGATGCTGCCCAGGAGGACTGAGTCCTGCTGGATCTGACAGCAAGCTGGATCCGGGTGGACACATTGGTGTCTGTGGCCAGATTCTTAAGACTCGTTGCAGGAGATCCTTCCTGCCCACAGCTATCAGCATCTAACAACTCTTGAAAGAAACCAGGAAGATGAGCTATGACAACATGCTGATTAGCTTCTGTGGCCATCTTGAATTGGATTGACTCCATATTCAATAGAAGAAATTATTTTCCAGAGGTTTAAAATCTCTGCTGTGTTTTATGAGATATTTTGCTAACAGACGAACTGGGTGGGCTCCAGCAGTTTATGGCAAAGCTGGGAGCAACACGACTGTTAGTACACGGAGTATGTGTTGCGAATGACCCTCGGCTACTACCGCACCAAATTTTAGTTCAACGTATACAAAACTGACAGAATTAAAGTCTTGTGTTGTTAGTTGGCTGTGGCAGCCATCTTGTATTCTGTTGGCTCCAAAATCTAATAGATTAACATCTATTAATTATTTCTTGAAAGTTTTATTATCATCTGTCTTGTGGTTCCTGAGTGGGGAGTAGTGGTGCAGAGGTTAGAGAAGGTGGGCCTGTGATCGAAAAGCCACCGGTTCAATTCCTGGTACTAAAAATCAAACTGTGTGTGGGGAAAGGTGAAACACCCACACCTGCCTCTACCCTAATTTGCCCCTCTCTGGGCCCTTGAGCAAGGCTCTTAACACCCATCATCTGCTCCCACAGGTCTCTCTTCAAAATGAGACTGTGTAAATAAAGGTTAAATAAAAATGAGATATTTTACTAACAAAGACACGGTTAAAATGTTAGTGGTGGGCAAATAATATGAGTTGTAAATGCTTAAAGACCAAAACCCCTGCACCTTGTATGTTCCAAGAGGAAACTTTTTAAATTCAGTTTTAGTTTTATTTATTTTAAATTCCAGTAGGTCTGATTTGATGACTTATTTATTAAAATTATTATTTCTGGGAAAGGAAACATAAAATTTGTTTCTCACGTTCTGGCAGAGCAGCAAGGTCACCGCGTGTGCTGAAGGTTAATTACATCTCTGAAAGAAAGTTTAACACGTTAATCAAAATCCTTTCATTCTGTTTGTTTCTCAGAAACAACGAAGAAAATACAAAGAATCGTTTGATGATTTCACGTAAAACTGTTTGTGTTTTTACTGTTTCCAGAGAGTCGTTCAAAGCTTTTTCAGGTCCTCAAACAGAAACGGCTCCTAGGTTTCGTTTTTTTTTTTCTTTCAAAAGATTTCTGGAGAAAATTGGCGCAGATTTTTTTTTTCTTTGTCACAAATATGAAACAAACTTGTTGAACGTGAAAACAAACAACAAAGATTCAGCACAAGAATAAAGTAAAGAGAATTCAGTGCCAAAAACTGAAACAATCGCTTTAAACGTAAAAAGACCAATTATAAAACATGCCTCAAAAGGAAGGATGCAAATTACTCTCGCGTGTTTATTTTGTTGCGTTCACGTCACAGATGAAAACAACAAAAACTCCAGCAGTTTTTTTTTCAGCCCTCTCCGTTTTAAAAACTATAAATCCAGAGGGAACCCTCTGTGCTGCTTGTGTGACGAGCAGAGAACAGATGTCCCGTTTTCTTTATTTCTCACTTGAACAAGTAAAGTTATAAACCGGCTCAGATTGAACCGTGGCGCAGATTATGTCCCTCGACGACTCCAGATGCAGCTTCACGTTGTTCATTTTAAAACCTTGGATCGTGTTTCTGAAGGCCTAGCAGAAGGAATAAAAATCGCTCGCCTCCTTTAAGCCCAGCATCTCGGGCCCAGTTTACATGACTGCTTTTTGAGTGAAACTAGCATTTCTGCTGGTTTCAGTCCATCAACATGACAACAGCCGTCATTTTCTCTGACACCAAAGCTTTTTTGAATCCAGGTCTGAGAGTGGAGGTTTTTGGAATCACCTGGTGTGAAAGTGCACGTGTGCGCTACAGACGGCTGCAGTCGTCGTTTCTTTGTGCTCGTTTGAGTAGATGAACCACGGTACTAACGATGAATAGCAGAGTGCTGCTTGTGCTACTTAAGTTTTCATCGCCATTGAAAAACAAAAATCATGGCGCCACCTAGTGATCTGGCATGGAAACTACAGTTTCCATTAGTTTACAGTAGTTCCTTGTTTATACCCTGAAGCCCCGCGATAAGTGGAAAAACCACGAAGTAGGAATAGTAGTACAAGTATTAAGTAGTAATTTATATATATATATATATATGGTGTTTTAAACCCTTCCAACACTCTTGCAATATTCTAAATAATGTTTCTAAATTTTAAATGCTCTAAAAGAGTCTCCGCTGCAGAATGGAGATTGACAGAGGAGGAGGAATCATGCGGCTCATCCATCAGCCAATTGTGTGTCGTGTCCAATCTTATTTTGAAAAAAAACGTGATAGAGTGAGTCTGCGCAAAGTGAACCACAAAGTAGCGAGGGACTGCTGTGTATGGAAATATGGCCTGCATTTTGGTCGAACATTGTAAATGTTCAACCCCATGAAATGTGCAAAAATCTGTTGGCGCTCAACAGACTCTCAGCTACAACCACAGTTACTGGTAATTTCAGTTCAGTTATGTATTATTATATTTATTTATAGCACCAAGTCTCAACAGAAGTCGTGTGTATGTATGTATGTATGTATGTATATATATATATATATATATAAATAAGTAAAGTTCAGTTCAATCTAGTTAAAACTGGCTGAAGCTTTCTCAGTTTTAGTGTTTGCTAATGATGATTAGCAGCCACCTATCATTAGGTTGACTCCAAAAGTGAACTGGTTATGTATGCTCAGTGAGTGGTGGCTCGTTGTGGAGACCCCTGAAGAGGGACCAGGGTTCTTATAAACGTTAAAACGGATTCTGTCTGTGTCTCAGGTCCACAGAAAGACCTTAAACCCAGTGTTCAACGAGACGTTCCAGTTTGGCGTGCCGCTGAACGAGCTACATTCCAGGAAGCTGCATTTCTCCGTGTACGACTTCGACCGTTTCTCCAGACACGACCTGATCGGACAGGTGGTGGTGGAAAACCTGCTGGACTTCAGCGAGGACAGCGGGGACAAACCCGTGTGGAGGGACATCGTGGAAGGCCATGCGGTACGTGGGTTTAAACTCTCACGAGTTAGAATTTAAAATGGGAAAACATGTTGTGGATTAATGACCTTAGTTAATCATAGAGTTTATTATATTTTCCAAGTTGGGACTAGAAAACTTTAATTTTTGTTTATTCATGTACATAATTTTTAAAAGTTTTGTTGCAATAAACATTTTTACGTGTCAAATCTGGTCTAAATTTATTAACACTGCACATTATGTGGTGGGGATGATTCGGCTACAACCATAAACATTTTAGCTAAAACAATTTAACAACTGAAATAAATAACAATAATAATAATTAATTAATTAAATAATTTTTTATCTGATAGGTTTCTTGCTGTAAAGTGTCCTGAAAGGCACTTTTTAAATACTACTACTAATAATAATAATTATTAATATTATTATTGTTATTTAAAAAAATTTAAAGTGTGTACTTTTTTAATGCATCTGTCTTTTTCTTTCAATAAAAATCAATGATAGTGTTAAAATATAATCTACTATGATTTGTTTTGATTATCAGTAGATTGGTTAAAGATATCCTTCCCTGTTATTATTACATTATTTATTATTATTATTATTACAATTTATTTTTAACCTTTAACCTGGATTTATTTATTTATTATTATTATTATATATATTTATTATTATTATTATTATTTATTTTTAACAAGTATAATCAGCTTTGTTTGAACTGATGTTACATAATTTAAACATTAATTTTGAACATAAATTTAAAAAATTGGAACTAATTAGGATAATTTTGTTTACCGAACCAAAAACATTCGACTGATACAACAAAGCTGAACAAAAACACAAAAATAAACTATACGGGTATATTGAAAGTGTAATTTAGAATGATTGATTTAATCAAAGTGAAAACCAGTAGTAGTAATTTAAATTAATAACATGTTTGCTGACTTAACCTTATATATGTTATTTGTCTAATTTGGTTTAAATATTACATAAATCAATGAATTTATGTCTAAACATGTTTAATGTATATTCAAATCTTTTATTTAATGCCATTTTCAACCATTACCTCCAAGTAGAGCCAATAAAAACCAAACAATTTCACAAAGCTAATCTAATTTTTTCCCATTAAAGTTAATCAAACATGCATTAGTTGTGTTTTAGTTTATTATAGGATTGTTGAGTGCTGGCACATGAAGTAGCTGAATTATTTTCACTTTACAAGCAGCGACTTTTAAATAATTTCACATTTAACGCCGTGTAATTCACAGCATTGGTGGAATTTTTCCTTTGCAACGTGCATGTTTGATCATCCCAGAGCTACGTTTATGCTCCTATGATTCGGCTGGATGGGTTGGATCAAGAAAATCAAGCTGAGTCAAAAACATTTTGATGCTCAGTTTGTTCCGGTGAATTCAGGCGTTAAAAAAAATTAAAAAAATAAAAATCCCTTTGGCTCACCGACGTATCACAATCATTCAGACTACACAGCGTAACCAGCCAAGTTTCTATCAAACCTGTCAGATTTTTTTTTTTTTCTCGAGATTCAAATGAAATAATTCTGTCTGTTATCCAAAGAACCGTCTGTGGAGAAAAAAAAAATCTGTCTGCAGTAATTCAAAGTCTGCTCATGTGAAAAATTATCTCCAGGGAGTCCAGATAGATTACTGGAAGGGCTCTGCTGGCCACGTCCAAACTTTATATTGGTTTGAGTCCAAGAGAATTTATATGAAATATTCATAGAAGGCTATTAGCAAATTAGATAAAGCAAGGCTTTAAAATTGTTTTGGCACAGGAGTTTAATTTATTAAATAAGTTTAAAGCCTCCGCATCTTGATGTATTTCAGCGTTGCATTTTGGGAAGTATTGATTAGTGAGGAGTCATCACACCACAGGGTGACCTGAATACCAGAACCTTCCATGTCTGGTGCCACAAAAGTCCATCCACAATGTTTTTTTTTTTTTTAATAAATAGTTTTTTTTAAATTGTTTTAGCCTTTTGTTCACACAGAAACTGAGTTTTAGGAGACCCTTAACTGTGATTTTCAAAAATGGGTTTTCTGAGTTAGAAAGTTAAAGGATTTACCCGAGATGCTTTAAATTAGGGATGCACCATGTTGGATTTTTGACTGATATTCGATATGTTAAAACTTATTTGTTCGATATCCGATACAAATACCAATATTTTTTCCCTAGACCTACTTACGACTACATAGCGTTCTCTGCTGTGGAATTAAAATACTCTATACTACTCTACTGGAATTATAATACCATCAGTCAAAACGTTGCTCTTTTCAGGCCACAGATAATCATCGGTGCTTCAGATTCTGATGTCGTGTTTGAGCGATCGCAGCTGTTTCTAATCCTGCTCTGTGTGTAACGATCCGCAGGAGAAGGCTGATCTCGGGGAGCTTAATTTCTCGCTGTGTTACCTGCCCACCGCAGGCAGGCTCACCGCCACAGTCATCAAGGCCACCAACCTCAAAGCCATGGACCTGACCGGTTTCTCAGGTAAGCGAGTCACGCACGTCGCCCCGCAGCAGCCTGGCAGGACACGGTCTGCAGGATGAAAACAGACAGGAAGCAGTTTCAGTTCTGTCTAAAAACAGATGTCAGGGACGCAGCGTCTTTGTTTTACATAAAGAGACGAAGCAACAGTTGGATTATTCATAGCAAGGTGCCATAAATACGCTGCCACAATAATCTGAATAAAAATTAGCTTTTATGCCATCTGGCAACAAAGAAAGTTGTTGTTGTTTAACTGTGTAGCTGCAGCTGTGATACAGTTTGTTGAATCCAGGGGTCAGAGGGCCATGGCCCCCAGTGAAATCTGCTAAGCCCCCCTCCACTGGTCCTACTATTTGGACATTTTACAGATTAATAAAAATATGGCTCCATAAACATTATAACTATATTGATGCGGTGTATATGTTGCAAGCAGTTTTGTCTTCTTCTTTCGGCTGCTTCCTTCTTCAGGGGTCACCGCAGCGAACTCACGAAGACTTGGAAATTATTTTTACACCGGATGTCCTTCCTGCAACCACAGACCACCGAGCTACCACAGCCTCTGTGTGGAGCTGCCGTGTACGGTGCCCGGGGGAGCAAATGGTGGGGGGGTTAAGATTGCTCAAGGGTCCAGAGTGAGGCAAATGAAGGTGGAAGCAGGTGTGGGTGCTTCACCTTTCCCATCCACACTTTTTATGCTGTCTGTACTAGACCGGTCACGATAACGAATTTTGCTGGGCAATTAATTGTCTCAGAAATTATTGCGATAAACAATATTATTTGAAATTTGACAATAATTTGTAATTATTGTCAAGCCGATAAATGAAAATGAGGTAGATAATTTTCATTTATCTTGCGATTAATTGATTTATTGTTTATCGCGACAGGCTTAGTCGGTACCGGGAGTCGAGCCGGCGATATCCCGATCACAGGCCCACCTTCTCGAGCCTCTGCACCACCGCTCCCATAAAGGCATCGCAATGAGACGACCTAATAAAGGAATAATAACAAAGTTATAATTTGGGCCGTAAACATTTGAAATTATTAAACATTTATAAAAAGACTTCTAAGGTAATTTACATATATTGATGAAAACCTAAAATTTGGTATTATCCTGTGCTGCACTGAAATGATTGATAAAATCTATTGATGATTATCTAAAATGTATTGGTTTATTAGCACGTTTAAAAACTGAAGGACAGCTAAAGACCTGATCACCTCTGTGGACCAACCTGGACCTCCGAACAACTAAAAGCAAACGATCATTCAGGTGTAAGGGGTCTGGGGGGGCACGTCAGGCTGCAAACAGGTCTACAGGAGTCTGCCAATTCAGGGCCTTGTGGGTCGTCAATAAAACTTTAAAATCAATTCTAAAACAAACGTAGTCATTGAAGGGAAGCGGCACCGGGGACGTTGTGTTTGTGTACAAAGACGAGCTGCAGCGATCAACGTCCTGCACCAACATCCAGTTACAAATAAAACTCTGATGAACTCTTTCAAAGTCACTGAAGGTTAAACATGATAAAACTGCTCACTGCGTATTCATCAGTTTTATTTTGTGTTCATTTTTTAAAATTTCTCCTGTCTTTAGTTTTGACTGGACGAGAGTTTGACGTATGAAGTCCAATGCGTTTGAAATGGTTATTATGCACAATGTGTTGAGGATGACCGTCAGCTACTACCACATCAAACCGTAGCTCAGTATCTGTAAAATTGACCGAGTTGTGTCCATATTTGTGTCGGCTAAGACCAATTAATTAGATTTAGTTGACATCAAAAGGTAATCAGACGTAGATGTACGTCCAGTTGTTATTTTCTGGAGGTTTTATTCAAATTTGCCCACTTTTTCATGAGATATTTTGCTAACAGACGGAAAGAGTTGACTCCATGTAGTTTTTAACAGTGTGGTAGGACAATCTGTTATCGCTCAGAGCCAGTGTTTGTAGCCTCAGCTACTACCACGCCACATTTTAGGTCAATATCTATGAAACTGACTGAGTTACAGCGATCTTTGTGTTGTAATGGTCGGTTGGCTGTGGCGGCCATTTTGAATTGGGTTTACTCCAATAGTTATCTTTCTGAGAGTTGTATTAAAATTTGTCCACTGGTTCATGAGATATTTTGCTAACAGACACATAGTAAATGCATTGCTGCAAACTTTAAATTATTCATTCAAAAGAGTAGTCTTACTTTAAAGTGGTACCCGAAAATATAATATAGTGCTGTATTTTTCAAACTACAAGGCGCACTTTTATTTTCTTATAGTCTTACAACCCGACGCGCCTTATGTATGAAAACAAACCCATCCATTGATATTGCGCTTTATAGTCTGAAAAATACGGTATTTATATTTGAGAAACTGTATAAAGTACCTGGAGAGCTCACCTGGTGGTGCGCTCCTCATTTGGCTGTCCGCTGATTGTTTACGTTCTGGATGTTGAGTGTAAAATGTTATCGAGCACTTAATAAATCAATACCAGCAGCCGTAGCTTCAGAGGCAGAAAGGCTCGTCCACTCTGCGTCCTCGTGCTGAAGCATCCACGAGCTCAATAAATGTGTTTATCAAGACGCGACAGAAGGTAAATCGTTGTATGAGCCAACGAAGGCGGCTCGAACAGTCAAGTGGTTTAGGCTGTTAGGAAGAAGACGAGTGCAATAATAAAAGATGTAGCGTGCCGTTTAGCAGCACGCTAAAGGAAATTAGCAAAGAGACTTGCTAAATAACTTTAAATCGATCAAGCATTTTTATAATGAAAGTTTCTAAGTGTAAAAAATGTTCAACGACATTCTAAATATATGACCTGGCTGTATAGTTTGTTCATTGAACTAAGAGCATCTAAAAAAAATGGCTTTTTTTCAGCGACGTCAGCTGCTGTTGTGATTTAAATGACGTCTAGAGAAAAATAAAAGTAGTTTTGGTGTAAAAAGTCTCAGAAAAATCTTGTTCTGTAGGTTTTTCTCCTGGATTTTGCAACAAATCAGATGAACTGATAATGACTGTACACGGTTATAGATGCAGATTAATTTGTTGGTTTCCTTCCACAATAATCAAAAAAATGCGAGCTGGTTGGGCACTGACTAATCTGAGTTAATAATCCAAATCAAGTCCAAGGTCTTAGTTGGACGGGACCCTACAGGTTCTCTGCTGCAAAATCCATGAGTTAGCATATTACACGTAAAAACAGCTGAATCCCCTGTGATGGACTTGCGACCTGTCCAGGGTGTCCCACGCCTCTCGCCCAGTGACAGATGGACATGGGCACCGGTGACGCCTGCGACCCAAAAAGGAAGAAGCGGGTAAAAGATAATGGATGGATGGATGGATGGATGGATGGATGGATGGATGGATGGATGGATGGATGGATGGATGGATGGATGGATGGATGGATGGATGGATGGATGGATGGAC